TTAGATTTACTCTGTCAATTATATTGCATAGGGATTTTTTATTAATTTGTCACTTTTTCTTGTCATATTAGAATTAATATTATTCATTTTTTTAAGAATGTGGGTCAAAAGAACCCCTAAATGAAATGTTCTCATTTTTCTCCTTCGAAGAACTAGTCGTGCCACTGGAGTTTATCTAGAGGAAGAACATATGAACATTAAACAAATCAAGAAAGAAAATTAAGCATGGCTTCTTGATTTATTCTTCGAATGAAATCACCAAGAGATTGACTTCTAAATAGTTCTACGTGTATGTTGCTACTGATTTTTGATTGCATTTTTTCTTCTTTCTCCATATCCAAATGTCTAATTTATATGTAAATTATTTCTTGCTTTGAGTTGGATGTTAAAAATCACGTCATTGACCTAAATATAAGCACACTCTGATTATAATACCCAATTATTGTATGCTATTTAAGGTAAGAAACTCAATTCTCAACTAAAATTAAAAGCTCATTCAAATCAATTTTGCATGACCCATGTTCTACTAAATGTTCTACTACTTTGTCTTCTTCTATTGAAGAATGAAGTTGAAAGGCTTTGTCTTCTAGTCAAATGGTTGGAAAATTGGAAGCTAGAAGGATGTATAGAATTAGAACATATATAGAATTAGATTATGAAGGTGGGGAGTGTTTGTTGTTGTTAAGGTTGGAATGGAATCAAAGCAAGTTGGTGACAAGGGTTGTGATCCAACTTCAAACAGTGGAACAAGTGAAAGTAGTCAACGTAACTATAGGGATTATAATAATGAGTTGAGGAAGTGCTACCAAATCTCCGAAACAAATTGCGTAAAATTCTCTCAATTCCACTACTTCCCCTTCTGCTTCCCACTAATTAAAAGATTCTCCTTGAACCTTTGTTCAAATTCCCATTGCTCTCCACCTTCATGTACATCACCGACACATGGCACTTTCCCTTACAATGTGTTTGGATAAAGCATTTTAGTGAGGTAATTCATTTTATTAAAAAAAATTAAAATACTTCACTCTGATTTATGTTGTTTGGATAAGTTATTTTAAGAGAATTTTAAATCCTCTCATTTTATGAAGCATTTCAATTAACTACAATTAATAGAATTTGAAATTCCACCAAAAAAGAAAGGAATTAAAAACTTCTCGATCACCTTTACGCACACTCATCATGTTTCTCTTACATTCGTGGTTGGCTCTCTCGCACTTGTGGTTGGGTCTTTTGCTCTCACACCCATGACCAGCTCTCGCAGTTCTTTCTCTTTACGCACACTCATCATCTTTCTCCCACATGCTCATGATCTCAATTTTCCTTTTGCTCGTGATCGTCTAACTTACAATCCTTGATGTCTACCTTTGCTCATGTTTGTCTTTCTTCTCTTTCAATTTTAGGGTTCTATTTTAATTCTTATTGAATTTTGTATTAATCTAGGGTTTTATTTTAATTCCATGTTTGATTTCATTAAATTCATACATTGATTCATTTGTTTCATATGTGTACAGGTCTGACCGATCCCTTTGTCTCAAGTAGAGTTTTTCAATTAGAACTTTCCCCTCTAATTTCTTTTAGTTGGTTGTTTGATGTGATTTTGATTCATTTTTTACTTGTTGTACTAATTTTATCATGTTGTTACTATCTATCAGCATATGCTTTGGTTGAAAAAAAATTCTAATACTTTTAATTTACTATTAAAGAACCACAAATTGTGTAATGATCATTAGAAATCAATGGCAATTATTGTAGTTGCATATAATACATATGATAAACTTTGATTATAAGACTTTTATTGATCATCAAAATGTATAACTCAAGTGAAATAGAATAAATTTTAGTTTTCGTACTTGGTCTCTTTCTTTACAAGGTGAAATCATGTGTCTTGTTACAAAAATATAAAATTTTCTTTCTCCTAGGTCAAACTCTTTGGACATGAACCATAAGCCAAAATGCAAGTCATGGGACAATGGATTCTTTATCCATTCCTTCTGACATTATTTTGGGCATGTAAACTCTATATGCATGTTAAGTTGTTATTTGGTTGTATCCTACCTCACTTGTACAACAACGATATCTGCTTAGGATAAGGCTCTTGGTGGGTAGCTAGAGGTCTCGATGCTATCTGTTTTGGGAATAGATTCCCTTCAATGACATAACCTTTCTAATATTTTGCTAAATAATGAATGATGCTCAATTGTGTTTGATAGAAACTTCTTATCATGATTGGCATTTTTCTCTCTAACCAGGGGAAGCTATTTTCAAATTCTGAATTAATACAAGTGAGAGTTGATGCAAGAGTGCTTCTTAAGTAGTTGAATTTTCTAATTTGTACTTTTATTTTATAAAAATATCATAATGTCATTGTGCATACTTGTTGAGATATAATGGGATTTTATCAGCTAGTAATTATTTTTTGAATGATTACTATTAAACATATGTCCTTATGATGAGTTTTTGATTTATTTTTTTTTATTTTTGGCATTGTATGAAGAGTTTTGCGCATCCACCATGTCTTTTTTTCCTTGATTTTAGAGAGATAACATTATATTTTTTGGGGTATTATTAATATAGTTGTTCTGTAAATCATTTTCACCCATGACACAACATGGAATATTTTCTATAGTACTTTCTGCTGTTTAGTACTCTGGTATTACTCTATTCTTTTGGAAAAAGGTTTCTAGGCCTATAAGTAACATACAATGGACCACTCATCTAATTATATGGTGGCAAATTATTAACTCACAAGGAAAAGAATCAAATATATACTTGCATTACAAAAGTAATGCTATTAAGAAAAATTTTGCGATAACAAATGTAAATGTTGCCATGAGACAGTCACTAATGCAATTTAGTTTAAGTAGGTTTATTCTATTTAAATAGAATTAGCATTGCAAAATTAATAAATCTTTTTAAGGGCCTAGTAGTTTAGGCTTTAATTCTAGATAATTGTAGGCTTTAATTCCACATAACTATAGGCTTTAGTTCCACATGTGTCTTTTATTTGCTTTGTTATAATTATTGTTATTGAAAGACAAGTGCAGGCTAGGACAAAGTGTAGTGATATTAGTAGATTAATGACTACGATTATGGCCTGAACTATGAAGAGCTACAAGCTCATAAGGGTTTTCACCACAAGAATATTAAAATAATCTCCAAACTTCCATTTGTTCAGAGCAAAGTTAGATGTCAAATTTTCACCATAGGTATGACATATTTATATTTTTGCATTAAAATTTCATAAAACCATACACCATAAAATCAAGAGATAGCTCAAATTAAAAGAACAAAAAGCCAGCCATGAGAGAGATTTGAAGAAACAAGTGATAAACGATATTGACCAAAAAGTTCAATCATGCCAAAATAATTTTATGTCCCTCCAAGTAATCTCAGAATTTCTCCCCAGTCCTTCTTGTATTTTATGTAAAAAAAAAGGACTGGCTTCATATCTATGATCATAAAAAGGCTAAACTTTTACCTCTTTTAATTGAATAAGGATAAGGTGACAAGTTCTTTGCTTTAGGATTGTTATCAAGAAGATATACAGTTCTATAAGCTACAAAAAAGATTCTGTCTGAGGATTTTAGGGATTCACTGCAAAAATTGAAATGATAATTAAATAAAATTGGCACTTCTACATTTATATTTACATTTTAAACAATATAAGACAAGGCAACATGGCACAATGAAATCATGGCTAATATCATATCATTATATGAGAACTCTGTCTTTTTTTCTTAATTTTCTTTTCTGCAAGCCAAAACTATACTATTGATAAGGTCAAAATCAATATGTAAATACAAAAGGTCAAAGGAATAAAAGAGAAGAGTTAACTCACCAATACACATACCCATAATAGAAGTAACTATTGATTATAACTAATTTAGTATGTGATTGATAGTTGACTTTCAATTGAAAGGAGTATTTATAGTCCAAATTATGGTGTACTTTCTATTTTACTACACCACAAAATACAAAAATAAAATATATTTAACTGAATATTTTTTTTCTCTATTTCCAATTAGTGTGATATCATTTATTAATTACCTATCATTGCTAATGTTGTATATTGAACTATTATGAATTTATACGTAGTAGAAACTTGACACATATATATAATATATTTTGAAATTATTTTATATTCCATTCTAATTATTTTAGATTTTTCCCTCTTATATTAGTTTCACTTGGTGTAGATTGAGAAGAAATAAATGTTAGTCTAGTTAATACCATAATTACTTCAAGAAAACATAAAAGAGAAGAGTTTAAGGAGATAACCATATTGGTTGTTGCTTATGTGGTTTATATGCTTATGGGTGTAGTAGCATGGTACCATAAAAGTTATTTTGTTAAGGAACCATCCCATAATTGCGAATTGGAGCAGTGTAATTTCCTTAATCGTCTTTATAGAGGGGCAGAAAAAGATTGCATTGAACAATTAAGGCTCAGTAAGAGTGCATTTTTCAAGTTTTGTAGAATTTTACAAGAAATAAGGGGGTTAGTAAGAATAAGAAATGTTCCAATAACTGAAGCGGTGACAATGTTTTTACATATCCTTGCTTATAACCTAAAGTACAGAGTAGTGTAGTATAATTATTGTAGATCTAAAGAAAAAATAATCAGACAATTTAATAATGTCTTAAGAGCTATAATGAAAGTGAGTCAGGATAATTTGAAGTTTCATACCTATCTAGAAGGTCCAAGTGAAAACAAATGGAGATGGTTTAAGGTAAGTTTTTCAATTATAAGGCTAGTCAAACTTAAAATAAACCTTTTTGAAAAATTAAATATATGAATAAACTTATGTTGTTTGTAGAAATGTGTTGGAGCACTTGATAGAACACATATTCCAGTAACAATTTCTTTTGAAGATAGGCCTAAATATTGTAATATAAATGTCGATGTCTCTAGAAATGTGTTAGCAGCTTGTGGTATATATTTGAGGTTTATTTATGTATTACCTGGGTGGGAAGGGTTAGTGGGAGATTCTCGAGTATTATGAGATGCTTTGCGTCGTCAAAATAAACTTAAAATTCCAGTTAGTAATATATCATGTAAATAATATTTTATTTAATTTTATCTAGTTTTAGGTTGTGATTTTCATTTTTAAAAAATTGTAGGTAAGAACTTTCGGGATATACTAACGATCCAGGATTTTTAGCACCATATCAAGGGACTAGATATCATTTGAATGAGTGGATTAGAAACACCCCTCAAAATTTCAAAGAGTTATTTAATCTTTGTCATTCAAGTGTACGAAATGCAATAAAAAGGTTTTTTGAAATATTGAAAAAAAAGATGGAGTATATTAAGAACTCCTTCATTTTTTGATATAAAGACGCAAATAAGAATTATTAATGCTTGCTTTGTGTTACACAATTTTATAAGAGACGAGAAACAAATTGATCAACTTTTGGAGGTTAAAGACTTGGAGCTCTTAGCTATTGTTGATGAGGAGCTAACTAACCAACAAAGAGAAAGAGTTCAAAACAATGTCATAGACGAGGTTGTAACTATTCAAGTTACTGGGGAATGGACGAGATTTCGAGATACATTGGCAATGAATATGTTTGCTAACTACCAAGTTAGAAGAAACATTGCTTAGGGAGAGTTTTTTTATGCAATTTCTATTAAAGAAAGACTTTTTTTTCTGTACTTAATGGACTTTTATGTACTAGATTGAAGAAAACTTTGGTTGAAATATTGTCTTTTGATAGCTTCCATTTGTTTTCAAAAAAAATATTTACATGATCTATAATTATGCATTGGATTGATCAAGTTAATTTTGTGGGTTGATGTATTTTGAGATTAAAGAAGTTTGGGCAATATGAGTGATAGAGCTTGGAAAAGGGTAACATACAATGTTGCAGCTATAGTATAATCTATCAACTTCAAAATCTAGGTCACTTGGGAGAATGTAAAAAATCGTATCAAACTTTGGAGATCATGCTATGGAGTTAATAGTGACATCCTCAGTCAAAGTGGATTTGATTGGGATGACATAAAACACACGATTACAGTTGACAATGAAAATGTTTGGAATGAGTATGTTAATGTAAGTAATTTTATATTATCATTATTTAAAGCAATGTAAATATTGTTTTTTTTTCCTATTATTGACTTGTTTCTTTTGTTTTCAAGGCCCATAAAGAAGCAAGACAACTTCGACTCAAGGTGATTGCAAACTGGGATGATATAGTGAACTTGTGTGCTAAAGATAGAGCCACTTGACATGAAGTTGAGACTGTTATGGATGCTGATGAGGTCATGAGCAGATAAATAAATGAAGGGGGAATTAGGTTTAGAGGGTGATAGTGTTACCATATATTTAGATGAACCTAGCTTTACTACACAAAGAAGGGGTTAATCTTCAACTTCTACTAGCACACAATCTCAGAGGAGAAAGAAGGGGAAAAAAGATGAAAAATCTAATTCATTGAAAGAAGTGGCTGAATCTTTAAAGAGACTTGTTCAAGCATTTGATATTGCGGTTGATGAAAATGCTTTTATTTAAGAAGTGTCAGCTGAGGCATCTTTGATACCAAACCTTAATCAACATCAATGGGTCAAAGCTGTTAAATGGTTATTTGACACTCCAAAGCAATTAGCTATTGTGAAAGCCCTTCCAATTAAGAAAAAAGGTGTTTTATGTTTTAACACATTTCTTGATGTAATTTTTTTCATAACTTCTTAATTTTAATTAATTTGATTGGTTGTTGCAAGTTAACTTTTAAACTTTTTTCATGTATTTTGTATGTTTCAGGTTTGGAGCTTTTATGTATTTCATGAATACTTGGAAGTTACCATTAGGTCAGTTACTTTATAAATTTTATAATTAGCTCGTACATGTGCTGTTTATTGATAATATTTTTGATAGCTTTCTCATTTTTATAGTGAGTCTCATATTGACAACCTATTCTGCCTTTTTAGTTGGTCATGGATAATGTAGTGTAATGAAAACTTTCTCATTTAGATTTTCCTATTTAGCTTCCTTTGTCTTTATTTTATTACATTTTTATTTTGGATTAATACCTTATTTGAGATGACTATAGTTCTAGTGTTAATTTAACATACATTTATTATAGTTTATCATATTTTATATACTTGTGTAAATTTTAAAATGTGATAACAAAAAGACTTGTTACTTGAATTTTGATCTTTGGTCTTATTATAATTGTTATTTGTTTTTATCTTTTGTAGGCTTTGCATCTATGAGAAGGTGAAAATCTTTGGTCTTGAAGTTGTGATCTTGATATCTTTGACAAACTATCTTTTATTTTTGTTATCTTGATATGGACACACATACATTTGGGATTTCATTAGTGTTTATTTTAAATCTACATGAGATATTGTGATTTTGAACTATCTATATTCAAAGTTAAGAATTCCTATTATTTTTTTCTTAGTTTAAAATGGATTCACTTTGTATTGTGAATCAATGTATTAATTGTTTTGCAGATGTTAATGGTGTTTTGAAGTTTTTAAATATTTTGTGAATTTAAAATATTTTATAAATGTATAAAAAAATTAATTAAATATAATGTTTGGTATTATTTTTAAATTATTTAAAATTTTATAATATTAAAATTAAACTCCAATTATTAAATATACTTTTATGAAATTTAATATTAAAACTTTAACTTCGTAATAAATATTTAAAAATAAAATTTTGCTTAATAAAAATTGAAATACTTTACCTAAACAAGATAATTAGAATACAAGATATTGAAAAATGCTCTATCCAAAAAAAAATATTTGAAAAAAGAAAAAAATTTAAATGAGTAATTCAAATTTTAAGAATATGAAATTCCTTGAATTTCTAAAATAATTTATCCAAACATAATATTAAATTTGTTAAATACAAATAGAAACTAAAATTAAATGGCATTATTAATTAAGCTTTAAAAATGTTTTCTACATGGACTTAATTCCATTTGCTTCATAAGCAACATAACTGACAGAGTTAACCTAAAACATTGGTATCACTATTTTTATTTTTTGGAGGGACTAAAATAATAATAAAAATTTAAAGGATTAAATTTGATTTTGAGAAGTTTTAGAGGAATTAAAAATATTCTAACATAAATAGTGACATATAGTTAGATGACAAAAACACCTTTCTAATTTATATTTATTATAATATTTATTAGTTGTTTAAAATTGTTAAGTTGAAGTTGTAAGTATTAAGAAAATTGTAAGTTGTGAGTGAAGATTGAAATTGATGTTATATTTTAAATTCTTTACGTTATTATAAGTTGAGATTTTATTATTAATTATTAAGTTAATTTTTTCACAACTTTATTTTTTATTTTTTTTATTGTTGGATTGATTATACTTGCTATGAGAATAAGGATAAATCATGTGAGAGATTTAGCTTGGTGAATGTTTATGTTGGGGAAGACCTTATTTTATAAATATTTCAAATGTGAAAATAAAATCTATTTTTAAAAAAAGAAAATAAAAATATAATTTTTTTTCTCATGCATGGGTGATCCGACCCAACTCTTAAATAACCCAAAGCATTAACGGGTCGGGTCGAATCCATATTTCCACCCACTCTCACTCCTCCTTTCGCATTTCTAACGCCATTGCGAGACTCGAGGGTGTGAAGTGCCCAAAGCGAAGGCATAGTGCAACACCGCAATGCCTCAACAACAATGCGCAATTCAAAGTACGCAGCGTTTCTTCTCGTAGCACGTGCCAAGTCTCTCCAACGTCACCACCACACGTGTCGCTGCCTTCCTTCTTCTTATTCTTCTCCCGCAACCCCACTCTTCAGGTTTTGGCGTTCTTCCCTGTGCAGTGCGAAAACCCTCGCCGCCACGCGCCTCTTCTCTAGCTACTACTCCCTCGAACAATTCTCCGATGACGAATACGACTGCGATTTCGAGAACCAGCAGGTTTGTTTATCTGTTTTATCTATTTTTTAATTTTAATTTTTGTTTTAGTTTTTTAATATGTTGGATGTTTGGTGTTGGTGGAAATGGTTTTTGGTTTAGGAATTTTCTGTCTGCTTTGTGTGGTTTTGTTAATATGTTTTAATTGCATGAATTAATGTGAGATATAATGACTAGGATCAGTGGATTGCAGACTTCTGAAGTTTTATTGGCAAGTGGGAGCCGAATAAATTGAAGATTTTTCACTACCTGTTTGGAAATTTTGGGCTTATTAGTAATGTTTATTTTCGAGAACCAACAGTTTTATTTTAGTAATGTTTATTTATTTATTTATTTTGAATGTATTTGTTTTGTGGGTTTTGCTGGTAAATTATTTCCCCGAATGATTTATGTATAGGTTTTGAAGCGGGGTTTGTGATGTTCGGTCTGTAATTTTTTTAATTGTTTGAATTAAACTGAAATCCAATTGACAAAGATTCAATCTATTAGTGAATTTTTTTAGCTACCTACAAGTTAGGTTATCATGAGTGTATGCTAAGATTTTTGAATTGAATGTGGAATTAGATTTTAAGGTTTAAGCTTCTCGAGTAGCACTTCTAGGAGTGACATATAGGAAGGAAACTCAACATAAGTTTCTCCATAAGCTAAAACTAACTTGTACATGAGTAAAAAATAAGATTTTGGAGAAGTTAATAGGAGATAGCTTCTACAAAATAGCTTATACATGAGCTAATTTTAACTCATGGAGAAACTTATTTCATTTTTCTTTCCTAATTTTCTCTCCTATAAATGATTTTGGAGAAATTTACCCAAACAAGCCCCTTAGGCTTAAATGGGATAAACTAAACTTCAACCTATTTTCTGTTCAGTAGCTTCTGAAAACCTTGATCAGCTCTGTCATAGGCCTACTGTTTCTAAGAAAATGTAATGGTTATTATAGGCATCATCTACTGTGGCCAATGTGGATGAGTGGAAATGGAAACTCAGCATGCTGTTACGCAGCGAGAAGGACCAGGAGATTATATCTAGAGACAGAAAAGATAGGAGGGACTATGAACAGATAGCTAACCTTGCCAAAAGAATGGGGCTTTACAGGTAAAATTATACATATTTACTTATGCCATATAGAATGAGACAAGAAAAAGACTCTTTGCTTGAAGCGTCTTTCCTTTGACTTTTAATGATTACTTCAAACTTTTGAATGAATCTTTGTCCCTTGTTTTTAATCCTCAATTGTTATTGTCCTTTATTATAATGCACAGTGAGTTGTTTGGAAAAGTGGTTGTAGCAAGCAAGGTGCCTCTTCCTAACTACCGCCCAGATTTGGATGACAAACGTCCACAGAGAGAGGTAATAACTTGGGGTGGGACCAGTGGGTAGGGAACTTCAACTAATAATAGGATTGATGTGTTTAGAATCATAATCCTCTGACATTCCATTGTGCAGCTGGTAATTCCACTAAGTTTGCAAAGGAGGGTTGAGGGTTTGTTGCAGGAATACCTTGATAGACTTCAGTTGAATTCTGCAAAGACAGCTGATAGCGTGGATGATGTGAACTCCACCAATCAAGTTAAAGATATAGAAATGGATGAAAGTGCTGATTCTTTTGTAGATGAATCTGTTATGGAAAAGGTTCTCCAAAAGAGGAGTTTGAGGATGCGTAATATGCAAAGAGCTTGGCAGGTTTTGTTTGATTTCTTGAATTTTTTAGTTGGATATTGCTTTTGGTATCACATGTGCTTGAATTAGTAACAATCAAGAGTGTGTGACTGTTGGGTTTATTTTATGTAATTTGTTAATTCTCTTTTCCATTCCAATTTCATTTCCTAATTATTAGCAAGTCTGATTAGTTATTCCAAGTTAAATGAAAGTATATTTTTGTCAGTGCAAAGATTATATCTTTTACATAATTACACACATTCTTGAAAATTAAATGCTACATGGAGATTTGGTTCCAATTTTTTAGTTTGGCCAATGACAACTGTTATGCTCTTTATTGTCCAGCCCTTTTTGTAGCTTGTTATTGGTCAGCCTTAGTTTTGTTGTGTGGGAAAATAACAACTTTCCTTTTCTTTTCTCATACTAAAATTAGTTACTGCGTCATGAAAGATACTATTGCTGCTGTCTTCCCAGCTGAGACCACTTATTGCAAGCTTGTGTGGTGGCAAATGGAAGAGTTTAGTAGTAATTGCTATACTAATAGTTTGTAAATATTGAATATCCATGATTTATCTGTAAGTTTGGCACTAGAAGGCTTACCAATTCAGTTATTTGCATGTCTGTGTTAAAAACATGCAAGTAAAGTTTGGACTTGGTAGTTGATATGCAGGTTTTCTTTCAACAATCTTACAAATAATCATATTTTAGTTTAGTTTTTTTTTATAAAAAATTCCCAACTTCTATGAACATAAGATATACGCTTGTCATCAAATACCCTAAAAGCAAATAGTTAAAAAAATGGTTGTGTACAGATGCACAGAGTGTCAAGGTACACACTGAAAGCTTGTATGCCTTGCAAATAGCTATACTCATTCTTGGTATGGGTATGGTTAACTTGGTTTCTGTATGTTTCGTTGAGTCTGCTTTATGGATGTCTTACTCTATGTTTGTATTTTTAACCAACATACATATTAAAGTGAATTGAGGTCTTCGGATGATGTTTAGAAATACTAACTAATTATTTTACTGCCGAAGCTGCCTTAGTAATTCTATTTCATGAAGTAAAAGGTTCTTGAAATAATTTACATATTTTTCTGGCTTCAAATTATATATATTATACTTTTTTATGTATAGGAATCACCTGAAGGCAGGAAGATGCTGGAATTCCGGAAGTCTCTACCATCATTCAAGGAGAAGCAACGTTTACTTCAAGCTATAGCACATAATCAGGTATGCTTGCTAATTGTGTTTCATTAGATGTCTGGTAGGTTAGCTATCAGCATGTCTTCAGTATTTTGGACCTTTAAAGCCAAACTGTGTATGGTTTATTCCTAATCCCACAAGGTTTTAGGACTTCATTATAAATTATAAATACTAAACAAATAAGAATAGAAGAAATTGAAGAATGAAACTGGACTTGGGCACTTAGTAAGATTTAAATGATGTAAAATCTAAGACCAATTATAATTCTTGGTCTTTGTCTACCAAACTAGCAAGGAACACCTGCAACTGCAACTGAAAAGTAGGTAAAATTAAGCTGAACTGGACTGAACCAATACTCAGGGTGTGCTTGATTGTGATTTTGTTTTTAAAATCTATTTTGTAAAACAGTTTTCAGAAACTTATTTTTAGAGAGTTAGAAGTGGAGGAAGAAGATGTGAATTGTGAAAGTGTCATGAAGAAGAAAACTGAAACGTAGAAAAGTAAACAACTTAGACTTGTTATGTTTTTTTGCTTTTAAAAATTGTAATAGATATTAGTCTTGAATCAGTTTTCGAAAGCTACTCTTATCAAAAACTTTTCAAGTTTTAAAAACAGAAAACACTTT